TCCGTCGTCGCGGGTCCGACTACCTGGTTGTTGCTTGGTCGAAGGTTGAGACTGGGAATGACTGTGCGAATCGAAAGAGGCTGCTTCATCCAACAACCGCTGTCGATAGGCGAGGTACTCATCCTTAAGCTCGTCCCACTTCCTTTTGCTCAGCGTCCGAAATCCCAAGATTCGAGCTTCAACTCGCAATTCTTCCTCCCTAGAGTCGTCTCCATAGGCCTCGGCATCAACGGATTCGTCGTCGTCGTCCTCTTCGTCTAAGCTTGAACCTTTTCCTTTCAAGTCTGCCACGCTACCTGTAGGAACCGGGGGGTGACGAATTGGCTTCCAAGGCCATTCTTCTAAGATTCGATCCACGTCTTCGGTCCGAAAGAGGGTAACAAGTGCGAAACCTTTACATTTCGGTTTGTCGCCTGGTTTATCGAGGTGGTGCGCGGGTAATATAATGTTCTGGACGGCAGGGAGGTGACTGTCGGTTGAGGAGAGAATGATAGTGGCGAAACGATATATGCCTGGGATCGTTCGATAGGCTGCTGGTATGTTTTCCTGCAAGGGTGATTACTACTGGGCAGCCGGAGATTCAAGACGGCGGGAAGACGTACGAGAGAAACACATCGTTTCTCCCAAAAGTCCCTTGACGTGCCCCCCACTCTCTCAACCATATCCACCCAGTCCGATCTCCTAACTTCATGCCCACCCAGAACGTCTCTAACATTCCCTACTTCCTTCTTATACCAATTGGCTCGCGAGGGAGAGGATACGAGCATTCGTACCTCCAGTGCACCCACGTCGCTGGTAAGAGCTCGAATAGACTTGACGGCTAAGAGCTCACTTGGGTTGGATATGTGAGCAAAGTAAGGAGAATGCTGGAATATGAAACTAAGAGGGATGACTTTGGTTCCATCAGAGGTTCCTCGAAGCGGATGGTAAGACGAATGAACACGTACATCCTTCAGAATTGGATTCGATAGTTCGCCTGAGGTCTGGTTCAGACCACAACGCGTAGTCCGACAGGGCAAGGGATATAAGAATCCCATAGTCATCCTGTGGAATGGACATATCCGTTTCTTTCTCTTTCCCTTTACCCCATCCCCCTGGCTGGGTCCCATAATGTTGCGCTTCCCGTGGTTCGAACCCGTCAGCCTCTTCACTTGCGCCGATGGAGGACTTGGGTGATTCGACGGTCTCGCGTGAGGATACGACAGTGGCCCCAGCAGGCAGACGTCGCGTCCTTCCCTGGTTTTGGCTAGCTTTCCCGAGTTTACGAGGAACGAATTGGAAGCCTGTGGACATTTGCTTCGGCCTCCAGCGGTCTTATATGTCGAAACTTGGCGGAAACACCGTTGGCCTGCAGTCAGAAACTTGAAGGGAGGACAGAAACGTAACGGAAACACCACATCCTTGCTGCATCCCATTTTAGGAGTTCGAATCTTCAAACTTGAGTGGGCTTCTGATTCAAGAAACGGGGAACTTCTTGGGTTGTCGTCCGCTTCTATCATCTTGTCTATCTCGAGCCACCAAGTTCTGATACTGTATAAAGGCCATCTACCAGCCACACAGTCGTAAGAACCCATCGCCATTGCTGCGATATCTTGAAAACGGATTGATCTGACGATCAACTTGCAGGATCGCCTCACCATCAACTATCCCAGTGTTGTTGGCCTTTAGCCATTATGCCAGCCCATCAACGGCCCCCCCACTGGGTCGAAACCTGGCAAACCGACGAAGAGACTGGCTGGTTGAATAACAAATACGTCCCAGTGTAAGTCCCCTCCATCCACTACCCATTTGCCTCGCTTTACAAACCCCCACCACTAAATTCCATTGACCTGCCGCAGAAATCTTCATGCCAAGCCACTCGAAGACCGCCTTTATCTTGCCGCGTCTGCATTTGCACGACTGGTCAAGTGGCCCTCTCCTCCTACCGATGTCCCTCCAAAGCACCGGCAAGAAAGCTCCCTGAAGGAGTTATGGCACCAGGTCAGTCTCTGGATCCATTTCCAGCTGCTGATAATTCAAGCTGGTTCCTACCCCGTTCTATTGACCAGTTCACGTACTGGATCGGCATCCTCACCTACCAGCCAGACCCCGACCGACTTACCAATGCCAGACATTGGCAAAATGATTTCCGACCAAAACGCACATTCAAGCAGGAGAAGCGCCTTGATTTGTTTACGCTATACCCTCAAATTTCTGTCAAGGCATTTTTGTCGTCTTTTTTCGAGGAGCGGGGTTATACTTATGAAAGGCGGAGGTGTCACGAAGCTGTAGTATTGGTTGGGACTTTCCTGAGGTTTCTAAAACGAATCGACTTTTACCGATCCGAGGGAACCGAAATGAGTGATTTGCTGGATGAAGCGTTGGAAGTTGTTGGGACGGTCAGTCGTGCTCAATAATCTCAGCCGATCCAGCTAATCTTGTATGAGTACCTGACAGGCAAGCGAAGAACTCCCAGCCACAAGACAAATATCCACACTCATCCCATGTTCATTCTCCCAAGGATGTACGCATATTTTCGTGGAACCCGTCCCACCCAGCTATCCTTCAGTTACACCGTCGCTCGAGGTCCTCGTATGCAACTGGGCCGACCCGGACTCGTTACCTTGGGATTCTTGGGAACTTGAAGAAGAGGGTGAGGATGTCGAAGATCCATTGATGCATGCCCTTTCACGAACACACAAACCCGGTCCCGCGACTGCCTGCCTCAAAAGGCGGAAGATCGTCGGGATTCACCCCCCTCGTCCAGGTGACAAACCGTCGTTTACCTCTAGCGAGTCGATCGAACAAGGAATTCTCCACCGATTTGGGTGTATCGTGCTCGAGGCGTGGCCCACATCTCGTGACGTGTGCGACCCCTCCCTCTCGCCGGGTTCCAGTGCCTCCACCCCGCATGGGACTTCCGATATCATTACAGTGCCCGTTGATCCTCAGGTGCTGGACTCCCTGAGAATAGGGATGATTCTCGAAGGTGTTTGGGTTGGGTTGATCCCAAACAGCGATGCTGAGAAAAATACCAGCGGTGGTGATGATGAAAACAAGGGAAACGGAACCAGTGAAGTCCCGAAACCCATATTCCACTATCTAGAACGCATTTATGCAGTTCAAACAAGCTACCACACGATCATCAAGGACGTGCAAGAAGATCGACGTAAGTAGCGTCCTTTGTGATCTGGTTTTGAGTCTACATCTCGCCTTTGCAGCTGCTTGGTGGAGTCCCCGCGAGACGGATGAGAGCCTCGGGCTCACTCTCGCTGGGAGAATGGATTTATTGTCTTCCATTCGGGCATATCTTCCCCACTCCCCAGAAACCTGAAGTTTTTGACCACGTAGATGATTGTATTACCAGGTTGTGTGTACTTTTTGACTTCTCTTGTTTGTAGTTCGCGTGCTGCTGTATAACGGCTCTCGTTGAATGAAATCGGACCTTTTTCTTGGCAAAACGAGGAGACCTGGCTTGATTGACGAAAACAACAGGCAGTGGTATATACGACAAGTGGGCGCCGACTAAGCAGTGATACTGGGTTCGATTTCCCCCAAGAGCAGCGTCCCGTCCTTGCTCGCGGTGAGAACTAGAACAGATTCTCAATCAATATCTGGCTGCAATGTAGTACCAAAAAGCCACTTACTAATTGGTTCCTTCGGGTGAAAGTCAACCGCCGTCACTGTTCCCTTATGGCCAGGCAACTAAACACAAGAATCGACCCAATGTTTAGAAGTTGATCCTCGACGTCAACACAAACCAGCGTACCTTATATTGCATCTTCCCACTATCGACATCCCAAATGCAGACACATCTATCAGCACCGCCTACAGCGACTCGTCGCCCTCCGTCATCCTTACTCCAAGCTCCCTTCAATAAAGCATGTTCGAAACCGGCAGGGGCGCCCGTCAAGACCCTGTGGATTCGCGAAGGGGAGGGTGAGAAGGGTCGAACGTCGTGGATGATGGTTTGGGATGAGAATGACGGAGAGAGGAGGAAGGACCCGTTGGGAGACAGTGAGAGGGAAGTGGGGGTATCGGTATGGCCAGAGAGTGTGTAGACTTTCTCTTGTTTGCGAAGGTCGTAGACCTAGAAAAAGAGATGACGTCCCGTCACGTTCGCTTGGGCAAAAGGGACCAAAAAATGACGAAACGCACGTGAATCTCATTGTCCAAAGCACCAACATATATGTTGGCTCCATCCACACTCCAACAAACGCTCGTAACGGGACACCCAACCTCAAAATCCATAACGCACTCCTTCTTCCCATCGTCACCTCCCTCCCATACTCTCACAGTGCCATCATCACTCCCAGTAGCCAACAACTCAACCCCAGCACCTCCAGCGATCGTTCTATCAAGAGAATTGATTATTCCGCGATGGGCGCGAATTTTTCTGACGCGAGAACCTGTGGTGACATCGGTCATAAGGAGAGTGTGGTCGGCTGAGACGGTGTAGAGGAAGGATGAGACGAGGGACCATTGGAGGTCGAGAATGGGAGCTTTGTGAAGGGTTGATAGGAGGCCGTAGTTGGTGTTGGGCGGGTATGTCTTCCATAAGGCTAAGAAGGGGTGTCAACGATTTGCTCGAGAGAAGATATTTAGCCACGTACAAACACTCCTGTCGGCCGAACAGGCTGCGATATTCTGACCTGTAGGGTCAAATCTACAGCTCAGGATCTCTGCCTAATCCTCCAGTCAGTATGCCGCAGCCCAGAATCCTGCTAGAAAACAGATTCTCAACGGAATGTGCGCCAGAGAGGCTGATAATTGGCGCCTCCAAGCCACTTGTTCTTTTGACACTGCGAACAAGACCTCGTTCGTCGTTTGTGGATGAAATAGCAATCTGTTGTGATTCTGGAGATGCGGAGCGTATTCTCTTGATGAGAACGCCATCTGAGGATGAAGGGGCGCCTCTTTTTGACATGGTGGAACGGGGCAGAGTTGAGTTGAGCACTTCGCGCCAAGTACTCAGAGAGATGCCTTCTAGTGATAATGGTCTATTACAGCCAACATTTCATGGCCGCCTGGCGAAATGGCATCGCGTCTGACTACGATTCTAGTTAATCGCGCATCAGGAGACTGCAGGTTCGACCCCTGCGGTGGTCATATTGACAAAACATCCCATTTTTCAATCCTTTTTTGTACAACGTTATACATGTAATTGTTTGGATCACAGTGTAGATGTACAAACCACTCCTCGCGATTGCAGCTGCGTAATTCCAGGTTAAGTTTGGGTACTTCTCGTTTCAAGATGCCATGGCTTTCTTGAGCTAATATGTGACTGGACACGCTACACAGAATAATAACAGCTGGCTACTTGTAGGATTCCTCTGCCAAATTCAGAGGCTGTCTTATTGAAAGTGTGAGGATAGTGCCTGAGACCCAACGCTCAGTAGCCTGAAAGCATCTCCGTCACTCCCGAGTGGAGCACCACGATCTATAGAACACCTAATGCAGCCGATAAAGATGTGGTTTGGACGCGATACAGTTACGCCACTGACTTGTTAATGCTCAGTATCATAATGCCACATTGACCACAAATGCCATGGCTACCTGGCGCAATGGTAGCGTGTTTGGCTTCGATTGCCAGCGTACCAAAAGGTTGCAGGTTCGAGTCCTGCGGTGGTCATTTGATTTTGTCTTTACCATCCGAGAATGTGTGGTGAACGAGTGACGAGGACACTAGTACTGAGAATCGAGTGGGAGGTAGTTTTTGACCAGGGATGGTTCAAAGAGGCTTGCATACTCGGGACAAGCACAACAGTAGCGAAACAGATCTGAGCTCGCGGAAGCGGAAGTATCAAGGGGACCTTTTGTGGTGCATGTGAGGACATTAGAAAGGATGCAGTAGCCAGGTGCGGAAGGAGGCGAAAGTAACGAGTGAAGACGACAACTGTAACATCGGAAAGTTAATTCCTTCGCAAGAAACGCAAGGAGTATAAGCTCTGTGTCATTTCAGCCGAGGCCACATGTACGCCCATACATCCCAGTATGTAGACGAATGAAGTGCATGTATTGTACAGCATATCTATGCAAGATGTTCTCCCTAACCCCTACGCCTCATCCGACTGTATAGCCTACAAGGGGAAGCTCATCTCAAACCCATTATTTCGACTTGGGGGCTTTTGCTCCACCAGCAGCGGCACCTGCACCTGCACCTCCAGCGGCATTACGCGCCGCACCAGACTGGGCGCGAGCGGGGAAAGACCCCTTGCCAGTGTCATTGCCACTCTTGGCCTGGGGATGTTGTCAGTTGTTGTTCAATGTCGAGATAAAGACGGATGAGACATACCTGAGTCGACTGTATACGAGCAGCGGCTGAGCCGGTCATCTTGTTACCAGTGGGGGCGGTACCACTAGAAGCTCCAGCTAAAGGATGGGGGGGGGGGTGCGGTCAGCGCCAGAGATAAATGTCGCAGAGCAACAGTTCACTGACTTCCACGTTTTGAAGGCATAGTGAAATGTGTGTTGGTTGGGGATGATAGACGAGGAGGGAACTGGTGTTGAATTTGCTGAGGATACTGGGACTGCAGCACAGAGCTTTATAGGTCGCTCGTACGGATGTAACCGCCCATTTCCCTCAAGCCAAGTCACAGCTTCACCTCGGTCATGTCTTGAGCGATTATTCTCGTTGGTTGGCAAAGACCGCTCAATCTTCTGAACATAACCTTCAGCCAAATTCTCTTGAGCAACATTCCAATCCAAGGCAATCTCATCTTAAAACCCTCCCGACCCATATTCGCCATTAGCTCAAGAGCCACGATTCGTTATCTTCCCTGCGTGCGTCCATTCATCGCCCCATTCATCTCCGCTATTCTCCCTCAAACCTCCCGTCGATCCCCTGTGAAGACGTTGTCCGATAGGATGAACAATTTGGTTGACGAATAGCGAGCTGGGTGTGATAAAAGCTGATAGGCCACGATAGAACGAGTTTGATAGGAGAGTAATAGAAGTCGAAGTTGTGGGAGGTGAATCATCGGCGAGCCTTTCTTGGATTGAGATGAATTCTTTCATTGACTCGGAAGTAACCGTACGGTGTAAAAGACAAGATTGACTTTTAGATAGTGTTGAACCAGAAGTCCCAAGGAATGTGCTATCGACCACAGCGATGGGTGATCTTGTCGCGATCGTCTGCGATAGGTGTAGTTCACCACCAGGACTCCTTTCCAAGCTCGCCCTATGGTGAAACGCGTGTGTAGAACTAGCTGACTGAGGGTAGGTTGGGAGATTGCCTGGGATGGGTAGCCTGATGAGAGGGTCCTGCCTCGATCATCTCGGATTAGTTTATACACTTGGGAAGAACGGCTTGCTACTGGTGTGTGTGGTAGATACCGGCCAGATAGCGGAGTTTCAATTATCTTCCCACGCCTCAGGCGCGTGGCTGTAGTTACAATATTCGGACGTTTTGGGCGCATTTTCTCGCGGTCCCTCTGATGCTTGTAGCTCCTCATCCACGGCCTCTCAGACGACCAAACAACTTCAGAAAAATCCGAATTTTATCTACAAAAAGGTCTTTGGTCTTTATCCACCCACTAGCCTCAAGAAAGTTAACTTTTATCTGCTTATTCTGCCTGTACCACTGGATTCTTTAATTTGCTTGTTGATGGAAAATACCCTGGGACCCATTGGTTGTCAGAAGTGACTCTGGTAATGGGTTTGATGAATTGTACAGGGCACAGAAAGATCTCCCTGAGTGTAACAATCATGAAGTGGGAGATATTATAATGGGAACCAGGTATGTCTATCAATTTCTCCCTAATTCTGATTTTGCTAGTTGTGAGCAATGAGAGATGGGTCAGATTTACTTATTGTACTATAGAGCTAGGCTTTCAAGGACTTGGACTAGGTACAATCCTGTGGAGGTAGTAAAATGGTCACAAATGGCCTTGGGGTGGATTGGGACTCAAACTCAGATAGCAAGGGTGACAGGACTTGTACCAAGATTTAGTAATTTTCATCTCGTTAGAGGTGTTTTGAAGCACATAAATCCAGGTTTTTGAGTCATGTGGGTAGTTCAATGTGGAGTAGTAAGACATTGCTGTCTCTTACAACCAAAATGGCAAAGTTTTGGGTTTTTTTGGCCTTTGCCAAAGCCCAGAATGTCTGAATAATCAAGAAAAGAGTAATGCTATTGTGGGTGAAAATTTCCTGTGATGTGTGATTGCCTTTGAGGTTGTGAGAGACTGAGAGTACAGTATTATTATCACTCAAGCAAACCACTGATGATTTGAGATAGTTCTACACATTCAAAATTTATGGCAGAACACACAGAATAGATACTAGTGAGTTTGAATACCAAACTGTCTCAGATACAACCAGAAATCCTGATTAAAAAATGATTTGTCAAGAATGTTCTCACTCAGGATTGAACCAACACTCATCCACAAACGGGGGAAGAATGTAACCACTTGACCACAGGACCTTTGAAAGTGGTAGTATCTGAGTGTATAGATAGCAAAAATAGCGGAGCTATTTTTGATTATTCTTTTTCTTTTTCGTTTTCTTTTACCCACAAACACCAGTATCTTGCCGGAAGAACGGGCAGCTATGAGATTTCAAAAGACGAGCTCAAGGGGGTCCTTAAGCAAAGCCTAAGACACACAGGATCAACGGCGATTGGCTGCAGTGTTCGTTGAGGGTGATGACGATGTGGCCATATGCATATACATAGGGTGACCAAAAGCGACGTTCAATCGAGTAACATTTGCAGCTCGATGTTCCAGACCGCCAGGTGGAGTCGTCTACGAAGAGAATCAAGTTATAAACCAAGGTCCAACCTTTCAAAATACTTTGGACGATGAGTTTGGCGACAAGGGAGTGCCACTTCAAACTCCGCACCGCTATTACTGCTGTCCATGGCTCCGTCGTTGAACAAGGACTTGTCAACTCTCGACCATCACGCCTAATCCACGCACATCTTCCTCCGATACAGTCTTGGCGGCTTTGTGATGTCTGTCCTGCTGGAGACATCCTTCGGGGACATCGTTATTGACCTCGAAGTAGACGCTTGCCCGAAGACTTGTGAAAACTTTCTAAAGTTATGCAAGGTGTACTATTACAACCTCAACGCATTCTTCAATGGTACGTCCTTTCCCTTCCTACATAGAACACCTAGGACTCATTATGCGCGCTCTTCAGTTTCCAAGGACTTCCTTGCGCAAGCTGGCGACCCCACAGCTACAGGCACAGGCGGCGAATCCATCTGGTCCTTCATAGCTTCTCGCCAAGGCAAAACCGAGCACCGCTATTTCGAACCAGAAATCATTCCCCGTCTCAAACATACCCACAAAGGCACAGTCTCAATGGCCGTAGCCCCAGCAGTCGAAGGTCTCCGAGGAGGCTGTGGATCTCAATTCTTCATCACATTAGCAGACGGTATCGATTACCTCGATGGCAAACACGCCGTTTTCGGACATGTAGTCGAAGGATTGGAGACGTTGGATAAGTTGAATGAAGTTTTTGTGGATCAGGATGGTAGACCCTTGAAGGATGTCAGAATCAGGCATGTCGTCATTCTTGGTGCGTCGATTATTGGAAGCTCAAAACTCTTGCGTTTTGTTCATCTCATTATAGATGACCCCTTCCCTGACCCACCTGGTCTCGTGAAACCCGACGCATCTCCCACACGCCCACCAGACAACTCGACCCGTATAGCAGAAGATGAAGACCCGCTTGCCACTCTCCCTGAAGAGGAAGCTGAAGTGGAACGTCGAAAGCAAGCCGCCCGGGCTTCGGCACTCACACTAGAGATGGTCGGTGATCTGCCCTTCGCCAACGTCCGACCCCCAGAGAACGTCTTGTTCGTGTGCAAATTGAACCAAGTCACTCGAGACGAGGATCTGGAATTGATATTCTCGAGGTTTGGAACGATCATGAGCTGTCAAGTCATTAGGGATAAGAAAACCGGTGATTCTTTGCAGTATGCATTTATTGAATTTGACAAGAGGGAGGATGCCGAGCAGGTAGGCTTGTATACTCGTCGCATCGAGATTGAAGTCACTCACGCAATCCTGACAGGCATATTTCAAGATGCAAAATGTCCTTGTCGACGATCGTCGTATCTGGGTTGATTTGTTCGTCATCTCCTCGCCTCCGTCGCCTCCCGC